CTCTTTCCCAGACTGCCCCACTTGGCAATGTTAAAAAAAAAAAAAAAGACCATTTAATCTCCCAGAAATGGCCCACAGACCAAGTGAATGCATCAGTCTCTGCCATTCTGTGCTCAGTTACTGACTTTTCCCCATATCTTTTGAGAACTGCAAAAGCAAAGTGTGCTTAAGTTAAAGAAGTCAGGAGGGATCAACTTCTCTTCCTCAAATCTTATAAAGTGTCAACAAACCAAAGAGTGACCTCAACCTGAAGTTATCCAAAGGGCTCTATTCCACAAGCTCTCCAGTCAGTTAGCAAGTTAAGTAAAATTTCAAAAGTTGTAACTGCACCACACGCTACTAACTCATGCCAAAGGTATACTACACCTCTGGATTAATAAAGCAGTAAAATGGCCACAGTATTTGACAAATTACAGACAATTTGTGGAAGAAATTGATAAAATCTGGCTAGCTGTTATCAGTATTCCTGATGTTGGTAAAAAAAAAAAAAAAATCAGTCTTTGTGTCCAGGAAGCTTGAAACATTTGTAACTAGTGCAATTCACAAGAAATGAGTTTTGAGTTAACACCATGATTGGGCTCTTCCTCAAAGTGGGGAACACATTCTTACCTTGGTATGCTCTCTGCCATAAAACACTGCTTCCCTCACCAGAAAATAAGCATGGTATGAGAAACAGTTTGTGTAAGTACAATCATAATAAAATCAGATAGAATAGAATGAACCAACACAGTAAAACTGGCCCTACTGTCCCAGTAAATGGTCCCAGTTATTAAAAAGGTTGCAAGAAAATCACTTCTACATTGACCAGAGGTTGCTACCAGGTTGCCAAGCAAGCCCCAACTTCTGACTGAGATTTTTCCATAACAGAATGTATAAAAGTTATCTGGATGTTCAAAGGTATCTCGTAGTCATCAGGAGTCCCATACAGTATGTTAAGATACTCCCAAGAAGTTACAAGAAACATTTTCCCCTGCAGCAGATCTCTGCAGAAATATGCCTAAATGTTTTGAACATACTTACTGTCCACCTCCTCTTTTTTTTTTTCATGCAAGTCTGCAGAAACTCTGTATTTAACATCCCCCCTCTCACCTGGCAAATATATTCACACCACAAAGAATGGAAAAGTCTGCTAGCTATGCAGAGAGCCATGTCTGCAAGAGAAGACAAAGTTCCTGGCCACAAGTTACACTGCAGTCCCAGCAAAGCACGGGTGAAGTCTGAAGTTTTTAGATACCTCTGGACAACAGAAGGGCAGTTCAAAACACCACCAGGAAGAAACAGAAAAGGAGTGTCAGGGGCAATATTCTTTTTCACACTGCTGCCAGAGAAGTGTTTTAATGCAGAATCAATGCCAGACATGGGAGACAACAGAAAGCTCCCTTAGGGAAAGGTAAGACATCCGACACCAGCAGCTGAGCAGGGAAAGTATGCCAGAGGGATGAAAAGGGACATTTTAAAGAGCAGCTTCTGGGAGGATAGCAGTTAGCAATGGGAGAGCCTGGAAAAGGCAAACTGTAGTGCACAAGGTGAAAGAATAACCTACCTGGGCATACAGTGATGGAGCAGCTAATAGCAGGAAAGAAAAAAGTGTTAACCCCTAAACTCTGCATACTAATAGCTTGCATCCCAGTGTGAACATAGTCACAGGATTTAAAACTGTTACATTTGGAAAAAAAAGACTTGAAATCTCACTGCAAGATTCATTTACTCAGCATCCTCAAAAAAGTCTCTCTATATGCAGACTTTTACAGAAGTGGAGAACAAAGCTTAAAAACTAGTCAGGGTAAACAGTAGAAATGTAAGACTCTTCACTCCCAAGAGAAAGAAAAATACTGATATCTGAAATTAAACATTGCTCCAACACCAAATTACAACAGACAAACATTGCCTCAGAATATATGCACACACTTCAATGGACCACAGAAGTACCCCTTTTAACTTGCAATAGGAACTCTGATATCTTAGTAGTAGTAATTGTATACAAAAGCTGCCACATTAAAAAAAAAAAAAGGAAATAGACTGCAAGTAACTCGTTAAAGAAAAAAAAACACAAACCCTTTTTTTGTCATGCTGGCATTGCCCCAAACCCGCTTTGAAGAATCAGATCCACAAGAGACATTGAAACAAAAACCCACTGGCAGCCAGCAGTAACCAGTCCTGCTTCCCCCACAGACAAAAAGTCAAAATCTTCCTGCATGTTACATCAAAAAACCCTCCCTGAAACAGCACAGTCAACCTCCCAGAGAGTCCCGACTGACATCACCGTCACCTGATGGAGACACTGTTCAGTTTTGCTGACAAGCTCCCCCTCCCTTGTTCCACCCCCCACATCATCTCAATTTTCAGAGATTCCCAGAACTGCTTCTCTGCGGTATGCTGAATAGCACAACCCAAGATTGTAAAAAGACCACATAAGGCTTCAGGTGGCCCGCAGATGCAATCACGCATTTCACCAAGCGTGACCATGACCAGGCAAAACAGCTTGTGCAGCTCCTCCAGACACAATCAAGAAGCAACTTTTTCTATTTATAACTCTTCTGCAAACAAGGAGGAGATTGTGCAAGGGCAGGTTTACACAAGCCACATGACTGATGCGCTATCGCAGCACCGCTTTGCTGTGTGACAGTTGTAAGGTGCCTCAAAGAACTCCCTGTTACTCCTCTACAAAAACAGACATTTTTTAGATACAAGGCACCTTCCACTGTCTGCCTGACTTAATTTGCAGCAGTGGGCTGGGCCAGCCTAACAGTTTTGTTAGAAACCACATTCCCAAACAGAACAAGCCTGCAAACTACAGAACACAGTCTAGAGTTCAATTATCTGCTTTTTCCACATCCTCCAGAAAATTCAAGTCGGACTAACTCAGTATTCAATTTTCCTGTCCCCAGATGTTCTTGACCAATGTTTGCCAGTGGAAGTATACATTAGTTTGAACTCTTGGAAGAAAGAAAGATAAAGTCTACTACTTTAGGGGGGTGAAATAATCACATCCTCAAACTTTACTTCCCGCTCACAGCTTCACTTTTATTTTACCAAGAGCGAAAATAAAAAAATTGAGCTCAAGAAAAACTGACTCCTGTTTTACCTGCACACCCAGCCTTCCTCCTGTACTGGTCTCAAAGACAAGCAATAATCAAAGTATGTATCAGTAATCCAGAGATCCCGAGTCCTGTACACCCTGCTTTAATTCCTGTGTGTCTCCCTTAAAGGGAAGATGCATGGGAGCACTGTAAGTAGGTCAACCAAAAACCCTCATGGCCTACCAGCCATGCTGTAAGCTAGCCAAGTAACTCCATTAGGATATGCCAAGGGTGGCTGGATTTTGATACAGCTAATTGGTTTGCTTAGCAGACAAAAACGGTGTTTCGGGTTGTCACAGCAAAGTCTCCAGAAAAATCCGCATACTATTGTACGTGAGTCAGTATTCATAACAGAACCTTGGTGAAAAAAGGTGTTTGTGTTAAAACAGTGACTTCCTAAAGAAAAACTGGCCTAACAAGTCTTCTGCTATGCTCAGTTGCATACGCATGCCTTTAACAGGTAGGCCAAGCTAACTCTCATTGCTGAACTGGTTTCTCATTACAATTTCCCTACATACACTAATGGGAAACCTGATAGATACTTCAAGGCAAATCCTTTTCACTTTTAAGGCACAAGAAACTACAATAATTTTAGTGATTTGGAAACAGTCCAAAAGAAATAATAATTGATAGCAGTTAATTCAGTGCAGAGCAGATACAGAAGTCATATTATTAAAGCAAATAAATACAGAGTAAAAGCTGACATTTGCTTGCTTCTAGCCTGAGAATCCCGAGATTCTCCATTAAATTGCCCGCATATTAGTATATTAAAACTCCACTTAAGTAGAAGACTAGAGTCCAATCATGCAATATCTCAGATGTATATTTTACTGTAGACTGCCAGCTGGATATTCCTATGGCTTTTAAACAGCTAGTCATGCTTTTGTTGTTGTTGTCGACTTGCAAAATGTTGCAGATTAAACTCATAAGCAAGTAAGATCTCGGTTTAAAATTGTCTTATTTAAAGGAAAATTCTCTGAAAAATCTGGTGTATCACTGTACAAGACCTTCAATTCTGGGGTTTCTAGCCATTCCATACCACAACCTGAAGGAAGATTGCCCTTCCAGTCCGCCTATGAAACATTTCTGTAGCTCTGTCTAGCTTTTGCAAAGTACAAAATACAAGCGTTGCCTTTTCTAACCTGTAGTCCTAATGCTAAAGGCAGAACATCAGTTATTCCCACCACCACCACTTCCACCTCAGAAACAACAGGTAACAAAGCATCAACATTAGGGGAATTTTCCATGTGGAGCAGGAGACCCTAACCAGATGAGGCTGCTAGAAGCACACAACAGAAAAGGCTACCTCCTGCCATCTTGAAGGAGGATTAACACTCATCTAGCCCTGAAGCGCCAAAGATAAACAGAAATGCGGGCAGAAAAACAAGTTTCTACCAATTACTCTTATTTGGCTCTATGAGGTGACCTATTTGCCCGATTAGTGTCAGATATGGACACAAACTGTTACACAGTACCATCAAGAAGTCACGTCCTACCAGCACTGAGGCAGGCTGGCAGCTCACTGGGACTTCTCCCTGCGTTTAGCTGATCTCTCTTCTTGGGCGATTCCCACCACCACCACCCCAAATAGAGATTTTTCACCACGGCAGTGCCGAAAGGCGCCTTTGGGATCCCGCCCCGGGCCCAGCTCCCCCGGCGGGACCGTTAGGCCCCACACGGAGGGCCCGGCAGAAGGTTCCCCCCACCCTCCCTTATCGCTGCCTCCTCTCCCTCCGCTTTCAGCAGCCGGGTCCGGCAGCTCCTGCTGAGAGAAAGAGGAAAAGAAAAAAAACAGCTTTAGGCCCGGCCGCCCTCAGCCCGCTCCCGCCCAGGCAGGGCACACTACCCTCAGCCCGCTGGGGCTAGACGTAAGGATGAAAAGGAATAAGAGGCGGGGGCCGGGCCTGCGGGACAGCTTACCAGCGGCCAGGAGCCCGAGGAGGCAGAAGAGCCCCGGCGCCATACTTCCCCCTCGCCCGTCTGCAATGCGGCGGCGCCGCCGCCCCCCGCCCCTATATAAAGGCTGCGCCGGGCGCTACTGCGCATGCTCGCGCTCCCCCCCCCCCCCCCCCCGCCCCAAACGGCTACTGTGCATGCGCTGGAGGGGGCGCGCCTCACGCCCCTCACCCTCCCTCCTTGCGCATGCGCAGGCCGCCGCGCCTCAGGCGGGCGCGAAATGGCGGAGGCGGCGGAGGCGGCGGCCGCCGTTCCCCCGGGCTCCTCGGGTTAAGGCGTGCGAGCCCCCGCTGCGTGAAACGGCCCTGCCCGGCTGGAGGGAAGGCCCCACGGGCTGCAGGAGGCGGTTTGCGCAGCGCGTCTCGGGGCGGCGGGAGTACCCCAGCCAGGAGTGCTTCCCCCCCCCCCCCCCCCAGGTGCCCTCAGGCTCGCTTTCGGCTGGTGGCGTTTCATCGAGGCCCACACCGGCAAGGAGGAGATGTGCTGCGGCAGAGCTCCTCAGTCACGGGCTTCCCCACTTGTTGCCGGGGGTTAGGAGGTGGGCGAGTGCTGCTTGTTCCCTGGGTGTGAGAGGCAGTTGGCACTGAGTAGCTAGGGATCTGTGTGGTCCAAAGGAACGGTAATTAAAACTACGATTAAGAAAGGCAGCCTGAATTGACTTGGTGTCTCCCAGTCTCTTACTCCCACTACATCCTTTGCACCTATTCGGCCAACTGGAACAACAAACCAACCCAGAAAAAGATGCAGCATTTTCCTACTGGATCAACAGTCCAAACCAGCTCAGCTGAAGGCCGGAGCTGGTTCCTCGCAGGCAGAAGCCAGGCTCACCAGGACTGCACAGAAGAACTGCTAGACCAGCTTCCCTCTTCATTTAACCCATGCTCGGGGCTTTCGGTTGCTGGAGGAGGGGTCCTGGTAAGCTACGTGCTTCTCTCGGCCTCCAGACCTTCGCTTGGATATCCCCTGCAGCCTCACTGTAACTCAAAGATTCGTCACGTCTGAATGGCCCACAATCTGTGAGGCTTATCCTGCCCAGTTCATGAGAATCTTCAAGGTATTGTCCTTCACCTAAGGGCGTACATGGTACTACCATGTCAGGTACCTACCTACGTGTTCATTTTTCAAGGACCAGACTTGATAACATTTAAGGTTTACTTGCAGTTTGAAGGTTAGGAGGAAGTGGATCTATTCTGTTTGACTTTGCCAGTCTATACCAAACAGGGCAATGCACATCTCTCCTTATGAAGACCATCTTAAAAGCAAAGCTAAGAAGCCACTGTGGGAGCCTTGTTATCTCACTCTTCTTTGCAAGACACAGCAGGAGAGCTCAGTGCTTACACAGGGCCTTTGCCCCCTGCCAGTCAGCACAGCTTCGTTTGGAGCCTTCCGAGCCTCTGCTGTCCCCCCCCCATCAGGAGCCAGGGCTCTTAGGTAATTCTCAAAGCGGAGCCAGACGCACCCAGACTGAATCAACCAGGCAGAAAGCCACCCCCAGCAGCAATTTTGGCCAGACTAAACAAGCAACCTTTACTCTGGTGCTAAAGCCACCTTGCCTAGGCAGGGCTCAGAGTGCCTTTCTTATCTCAGGAGTGCACACAAAGTGTTGACAAGGCACCTTGACTTTCTAACTGGCAGTCATCTACTACCATATGAACGCAAAAAACCCCAGTTTTGTGAAGAATATTAAGGGAGGTTAAATAAGAATGTGTGGAACAGGAGAGCTATTTCAGCAGGCAGGGTATTTTTCTGTTGGGAACTGAAGGACCAGGGGTAAGGAAGGACTAGCATCGAGCTAGCGGGTGCCACCCCGATCTGTTCTCATTTTGGGCACCAAAACCACCTATGCTAGCCCAGGTTTCCCTGGAGCTTTGCCAGTTCCAGGTGATTTGGGGACTTTTTTTTTTGCCCCTCTCAAGTACAGAGCATATGCACCTGGCCAGCTGCTTCCTGACAAATTGTCACCATGACATAGCTTTTCCTGGTTTAGCCATGCTGCTTGCTAGTTTTCTCACTTAAAAATGGGATTAAATAAAATGACATCAAGAGGTCAAGCTCGGGCCGTCTGCTATTGACAGCGGGACTGCGTGCAAGAGGGAGAAACCCCAAAGGGCAGCTCAGCCTGTTGAGACCAGGTCCAGCTCACAGATGTGAGGACCAACAGCACGAAGAGAGACTTCGCAGTGACGATGTGAACTGCAGCACTCTGCCGTCTGCCTACCGCCTTCTACTTCTGCTGAGCTTCTGCTCAGATTTGGGGTTTTTCCTGAAGATAAACCTCGCAGATAAGGTCTCAGATGAGGCTTCTCAGGAAGGGCTGTGGCTTGTCGATAGTCACAGCTGAGTCACTTTGCTGTGGCTGGGAGACAAGGGGGTCTTCCCAGCCTACACTTGATTTTTAGCCCCGTTTTCTGAGGGGCACATGCTCTGCATAGAGAAAGTGGGTCGGAAGAGCCCGTCCTCCCCCAGGCTGGAAAGCGGCAGCCGAGCGAGGGACTCTCCTGCAGCAAGACACATGACTCACTTTCCAGGGGCTGGCATCCAGGAGCACTGCCTCTCCTATCAACCAGTTCGACTGGGTTGGCACTGGAGCCCGACTGGCTCCAGAAAGCCTGATGCTTGGTTTTGTCGTGCCTACGGCGCACAAATTCCTTCCACCGTCACCTCGCCCTCCTCACGCCCAACTCCCGGCTTTGCATAAGCGGGTGCACGTGAGGCATCTCTGTTTGGTAATCTCGGGAGGCCAGCCAGAGGCCCCTGCAGGCTCTGGTTTTGCAGCCAGCCCTGCAGGAGCAGTGCTCTCGTTGCGGGAAAAAAAAAAAAAAAAAAAAACACACAAAAAAAACAAAACCAAAAAACCCTAAAAAAATTTAAAATAAATAAATAGAGGCGTTTTTCTGCAGCAGCCTGGCTTTTGGACCATTTTGCATTTCCACTCAGACTGCAGCAAGCTGTCAGAGAGGAAGCAAAGACAGCCACAAATTACAGCCTGGCAGCCTCGGGAGGAGCCTTGGACACGTTTGAAGTTTGTTCCAGCCCAAGCAAGAGCAGCCTCCTTGTGACTCACCAAATGGTTTGGCTTGCGGGTCCCAGCTGGACTAGAGACAGGCTCCCCACCGCACAGCCCTTTCCTCGCCACTAACAGGCTGCAGAGAAATAGCTCCTGCCCCGACGTACTTCTCAGAGCAGAAAGCATGGGACCGTTTTCCGAACGGGAAGGCGATGCTGCAGGGACTGCATCCGAGGGCAAAGCTGCAGCTCGACGGCGCCGGGAGTGGACAGGGCAGGCGGGACAGCAGCGTGTCCCCCTCCTCCTGGCACCGTTGCTCGTCAGCCCCTGCGCCAGGCTTGCTCAGCTTGCTAACACAGCAAAAACACCCCGACCCACGGGAGCAGAGGAGATTTCGCTGGATCTGTGGCCTGAATCAGCGCAGGGTGCAGAGAGCGCCGTGCGCTGAGCCAGCGGGGCGGTGGGAGCGAGGCAGCAGCGACCCTACGCTTCTCCGGTGTCAGCACAAACAGCCACCGGCGACCGATCTGGCTTTCGGAGTGATCTGTTCCTCTCCAAGGACAGTTTTTCGCCTGGATCCAGTTCGCTGTCTGAACGCTTGCGGCAGCACGGGGTGAAAACAGTTGGGGACCATCCCCTTTTGGCAGCTACGCCACAGCAGAGCTCTCAATTAACACGGGCATCATCATGGGCCACACTCCTTCCCATGATCAGCTCAGCGACAACTTAATTATCAAAAGGGGGTCACGTCGGGTGCGCTGGATTTTCCAAGCAAAGCATAACATAAAGCCTCCTATCACTGCAGCTAATTCTTATTTCAGTATTTCCTTTGTCAGCTGCCACAAGTTTTGCATTTTAGTTACAAGCTGCATTTTGTTTCAAGGTTCCCTCAGCATTTTAGGTACTACTTACTGGGGATTAGACCCATATTCCAAGGCACACCGTATCCCAGGGTCTGTTACTTCAAACCAAGTAGATCAACACAAAGAGAGCCAGCAGCCATAAATGCATTGCCCTCATGAACCAGGATTTCTGACCAGCACCAGCAAGACCTGGAACAACAATAGAGTTGCCAGAAAAGCAGCTGATTCCTCCTAAATACAGGTGAATCAACAGTGCAGCATCACCTTGTAAAGCCCGTGCACAGAGACACAGAATCCCATTCCTGCTCTCATTGTGTCATCTTTTCAGGGTTGTAAGCAGTAAGAAAGCAGCCAGACAAACCCCTGCCACGGCCTTTGAAGGAGAAACGGCTTTCTTTTTATAAATCAAAATGAGAATTAACTCTCATGTTTTTTCTGTAAATCCTACACCCCGCCCTGCACTCCCCCCCCCCAAAAAAAAAAAAAAAAAAACAACAAAAACCACAGCACGTTAGAAATATAGATCTAGGTTACCCAGGAAGAAAATAAAGGAAAATGTATAATGGATTTTAAAATATATATCAGAAATCCCCAGATAGCAATAGCGGAGGAGGATTTGGGGATACTTTTGGTTCCCTACATCAGAGAAAAAGCTCCCCAGCACCGCCTAGGAAGTGCCACTCATTTTCTTTTCTACCTTGTCTATAAAGACTCAAAACAGGTGACTCAGGCTGCTTACTGGGAGCTGTGATCGTCTCCACTGAGAGGAGCAGGCTTGATGCTTTTTAGGATTTCTGCAGTAAAAGAGGTGAGCAGAAGAGTGCCCTTACCCATTCCTGCCTACCTATCACAGCTGTCCCTCCCTCGGTCACCTTGTGCTGTTGCACTGAAGCTCACCACCATTTTGTAGAGCAGCCAGGTCTTTGCAGGCTCCTCTATCCCACAGAAGAGCCACTTTCCAGACCGTGCATCACATCTGTTTAAAAAAAAAAAAAAAAGAAAAATTTCAAGCTTTGCAAACCATCCCAGCCCCATTTCTAAGAGCTGGCCCTTCTCAAAGGATGGCATGGGAACAGTAAGCAAGTTTTTTAGGTTAGATCTTCAAAGCCTGGAGGAAGAAATCGCCACGGCCAGCCCTGGCTGACACCCCCTGTGCATCCCCTGGCAGGCTGCTGGGGCATCAGCAGGGTGGTGCTGGG